TTATGCTGACTAATGCAACTGAATCAACCTGATAATGAGTGTGAACAAAACGCACAGGTTTAGCTAGCAAATGCACAAAAATTTACCTATTTTTTTTGCCCTGGAAAGTGCTGGGGAAGCAGCTTTTAGTAAGCCACACATCAGTTACTGAGCAGGTGCCAGTGAACACCTCTGAAGGCCTTTACTTTTTCCCCCACACTTTTAATTCTATGTTTCTTTAGACCAGAACTAATGTAAAAGAAGAGTGAAAGTCAGAGCTGTCACTCCAGACGTACAGAACTAATGTAAAAGAAGAGTGAAAGAGCTGTCACTCCAGACGTGACCCTGAAACCAGAATGAGCTGCCCTATAGTGAAACAGAAAGGCGGAAAAAATCTTCCCCCTTTTGACAGAAAAGCTGCAAGAACCAGGAGCCCACTCTGCCACAGAAGTGCCAGCTCTCCCACCTGGGAAGCAAGCAGCCTCTGTGGACGTCGAGGCTTAGCAAAAAAAATGATCATGGTTTCCCTTCCGTCCCACCAAAATTCAAGGCATTTCCAGGAGAAAGAGGCTAATGGTTTGCACATATCTTTCCAGCCAAGTGTCCATAAACTACTCCTGCGCTATGATTTCAGAAGCGAAAGTTGGCAAAATTTTGTAAGGGGGTCCTGACAAGCTACGAAGAAAAAGAGGGAGAGGAAGAGGAAGAAGAAAGACTCACATTCTCAGTGACAGAGTGGCCCTGTCAGCTCGTCACTATGCACAAATCCCTCATTCTTGCCATGCACTGCTGCTACTGCTGCAATGTAGAACTGGCAATCACGAAAATTCCCTCTTTCCTTGGTGAGTTTGTCTGTAAACACGACAAAAGTGTTGGCTTGCTCAGAGCCTGCCCACTTGCTTACCAGCTCAGTAGAGGATCTGCTCAAGGATGATGCACAAGAGGGCACAGACTATTCAGTCAGTGGGTCAGACTATTTTCTTGCACAACGGGCAGGTCACCAAGGTGAGCCAAACTTCAGGCACCCCAGGGAAAGGCCTGGAAGGGCCCCAGGCCTTGGACCTGAGGCAACGGACTTGATGTTTGGCCACCTCCAAACTCACCAGCAGCGTCTGCAGCTTAAATGAGTTAAGGTTGCACATGTGAAGAAGGGATGTATGAGCCCCCACTTGGGCAGGGGAGAGCACCCTGTGAAACATCTGCGTTAGCCTTACAGAGAACATGGTTTTTCTACCTGTCAGCATTTCTGCCACAAATTGTTATTTGGAGCTCTACACAAATCCCCTTGGCCATCCTCAACCCTCCAACATGCCTGGCCCTGGGTCACATAGTTATTTTTAATCTCAATTTTGAAATGGGAATAGATGTGTCTGAAGTCTGTGTGATATCCACTCTGCAGATGAACAAAACAGAAATCCAGACCTGGAATTTCTGCATGATGTAGGCCTGTAACATGATACTGGGTTTTGTGGTTTATGGAGATTGGATGGGAGATGGGAAGAGAAGGGAAGGGAAGGAAGAGAAAGAGGGAGAAGGGAGAAGGGAGAAGGGAGAGGAGAGGAGAGGAGAGGAGAGGAGAGGAGAGGAGAGGAGAGGAGCTATAACACAGACTTGCCTTCCAACATGTGGATGTTGAAGAGTATGTTTGGACTCAACGCAGGGACAGCGTCCCATGTCCTAGGCAGCAGTGCAATGCGTGCGCCTCCTGATTTATAGTGGTGCAAGTGAGGGGTGAGAGGAAGGCTCAATAGCACCAGTTCATGGAGGGTCAAACTGCCGTGAAGTTAATCCACTGATTTATTAGGGAACCCGTCTTCCTTCTCCTCGCACATAGCTGCCTATGCAAGATCAGCAGCGGAACAAGTAACACATCATAGATTCAGAGGCTCACACTGTCATTTCATGAATAGCAAGAAAGGACCAAAAGCAAAAAAATAAACTGGCTCCAAGTTTCTGATTTATACTGTTTTCTCGGAGCCTTTTTGCCAAGCAGCTAGTGTTTTGTGCCAATTGCTATTACAGAAAAGCTTTCTTCGGTAGATATAAGGAATGGACACTGCCCAGTTTATCTTAAAATAAAATCTCTCCCCACAGCTTATGTAGTTTGCCAGGGAGAGAGAAAAGTTTGAGCTTTGTTTTTGTTTTGTTTTATTATTTTTATTTTTATTCTGGACTGTGAAAATACATTTGGGGGAGCCTGCATTATGTGTGCAAAAACACAACAGATGAATTCTATTAATGGATGTAACATGTGGCTGGGTTCAAGCTAGAGTGTCATTTGAATATAGAAGTCAAAGCCAATTTATTGTAACATATTTTTCTTTTCAAAATATTTTAAGAAAGACAAAAAAGTTTGCGCAACATTTTGGCAAGCAGGTCTGTTGAGAGGAGGTATTTTCTGTCTTGCAGCTAACATAAGGGCTGAAAAATGTGGCAATGCCGAGAAATCCTGGATTCCTTCTGGAACTGAAAGAAAGTGTAGAGGATATAATTGTGTAAGAGCCCAATAAATTTTCAAGGGTGGATTTGTAACACTGCCTTGGGGGCTGCAGGTGGCTCCAGAATAAAGTTACATTTTTGATTTCATGAAGAGATGTCAAATACTTTATCTATGTAGCTATGCACTCATGCAGCCTCAACTGAAAGCTGGAATAATATGGAATTATTATTCCATAACATTCATTGTGTTCCTTCCATGCCAGATGGTATAAAGATAAGTTGGATTAGGTTGACGTTTTTATGTTATTTAGTATGTGTCGAGGGGGTGGTTATTTGGGTGCTGAATGCAGTAAGCAAAAGCTAAGACGCAAAAATGAGCTTCCATTAAGTTTTCAAAGGGGTGGGCATTAGTTGGTCTTCAGGAAGTGGGTTGGTTTGGTTTTGCCAGTCATTATATTGTTGATGAGTCTTTTTTTTTTCCCCCGAATGACATGGAAGGCCATGGCCATGGGGCACAGCTTTACCTACTTAGTAGATTAAACCCTGGAACTACACCTGACTTACTGAAAAACATGCAGCACCAAACTGCAGCTTTTGTGGATTTGTGTTTTGTGGAGCGAATATGTTGCTGGATATAAGGTCATGCAAAATCAAGTTGCTTGGTTCCTAGAGTAATTGCAACAAAGTGCAGTCAGAAATCTGATGTTTCTCCCAACTGTTATGAAGTCTCCATTGCCTTCTATTTGATTTAGGGCTATGCAGCTAAGGAATACCTGACTATGAAGTGACCAAAAATAGTTTGAAGATTTATGTGTGGTGGCAGAGGGATTAAGAAAGGTCTTTCCCTCCTTCGGTAGAGGTCCAAGCACCAAACACCAAGGGAACAAGTAGAGATAAAATGTATTGTTGCCAAGAGAAACCATGGGTAAAAGAAAATGAATCCATGTTCATCCTGTAGCTCATGGCCTGGAGTTGCCAAGTCTTTCCCCACTACCTCCTGAGCTGCTTTTTTGCCATCCCTTGCTCATGAAGCTGAGCACTGCAAAGAGGAAGCAGATTTAGACCCGTAGCAAGGACTTGGTAGCACCCAAAAACCCACTTCAAAGCCCTCATAGAATCATAGAATGCTTAAGGTTGGAAGGCACCTCTAGAGGTCATCTAGTCCAACCCCCCTGCACACGCAGGGTCACCTAGAGCACG